TCCAGCAATTTGGTGTTGAGAACACGAAATCACACGAAAAAACTGAAAAAGAAGTGCAGTCACCTCAGTGTTGCCAGCAGGTAAGCATTTTTTAAGAACGTGGAACGTCATTTATTCCATTAATTTTAGAGCGTAGCTCTTAGGCGCCCGTCTCCGGCTTGAGCAGCGTCGGCGTAACCGCGCGGTGCATCATGGGATGCGTGACGCCACTGGTGACGTCACTGATGACGTCATTAGGGCGATGACGTCATTGTGATGACGCCGCTGATGACGTCATCAGTCACGTTACGTGTGACATCATCATAGTGACGTCATCACGGGGACGTATACGTGATGACGTCACTGGTTACGGTCTGATGACGTCGTCACAATGACGATGGCAATGCCGATGACGACATTACGATGACCCCGGTGACGTCACATGACCCCCGTGAGGTGAGGTGACCCCCGTGAGGTCACATGACCCCGGTGACGTCACGTGACGTCACGTGACCTCCGTCAGGTCACGTGACCCCCGTGAAGTCACGCGACCCCGGTGACGTCACTTGACCCCATGAAGTTACGTGACAACCGTGAGGTCACGAGGGTCACGTGACCTCATGGGGAAGCCGATGACGGCGACGGCGACGCCGCTCGGCGTGAGGACTAGCAGGCAGGATGACGTGGTGAAGAGAATAGAGGAGGGGTGTAATTAACCCTCCCTCAGTACCCTTTCCTCCTCCTCCTCAAGAGCTGCGCTGTAATTCGGCATTACAGGAAGCTGTAAACTGCTTTTATTTTTTTTTTTATAATTGGTTCTTAGTTGGACACAACTAGAAAGCTGAGCAATGGTTGCATACAAACAAGGTATTTCTGAAATTTTACTTTTGCGAATCACATCTTGAAGCGGACGAACGCTCTTTTCTAATGGTGAATTCAGCTGGTAGATCTGGATCGATTTCTAAAATCTGCGAGGGAGGAGAAAACCCGCTCCTTTCGCCACGCTCTGGATCCACCAGGTGAAGATGCGGGCGCGGATTTGGAGCGGCCCAACGCCCAACCGACGGAAACGGAAGGACGCTCTTCCCGTGAGCCTCTAGCAGTCTTCCTCCCGACCCTCCCGTCTCCCGTGCACGATTCCCGCGCTTATCCCTTCTGCAAGCGACAGCATGGCTGATCCCGCTCAGCTGTCAGATCCGGCCGTGCGCCAACTGCTGCTGTCCCTCCTCGGAGGACGTGAGGCAGCTGGATACGGCAACGGTGAGTTGGCAGAGGTCCGTGCTCCGAGGTCGGCGGATGACTTTCGGGCGAAACACAAAGTGCTTTCTGCGCACGAGCGCGCGTTTCGCGACCACTAAACGACATGCTCACGTTATTATGCTCGAGTTCACCTTAGGATGTGCTGCAGCAGAAGCTCTACTTCGTTTTACCTTAGTGCCGACTAACCGTAGAGGCCGTACTAGCGCGAGGCGGCAGCCTTGACCGGCGCCCTCTCTGCGCGAACGAACGCTTCATGAGCTCGGGCTTTCAGCACGTGTGGCCAACCATAGTGCATGCTTAATTTTGAGACTTGTTCACCTGCAGGATGGTGCTGTGTTTGGCTCTGCTGCTTGAGCAAGGAGCTCGAGGATGACCGCGGGTCTTCCTGTCGTAAAATGGACCGCGTAATAGGCCAAATAAAATGAAAGCAGTGAAAGTTTAGAGTGTGCGTTTTGGGCTCAAAAAGCAGACCATTTTTAGCAGACCACTGTTGTCAGCAACGACTCCTGCACTGCGTGTTCTTGAGGACACCATTGTTTTAGTTATTACTATTTTACTTTTCTATTCTTCAAATAACATACCTAAATTGGGATTAGAAACACAAAAGACCTGAAAGCTTAGCCAAGCATGTGATTGAAAGGGTTGCACCCGGCCTCTTACAGTAGCCGTGTAAACCACTTTCCTTTCCCCGTTATTACATTTTATTCCCATAATGTACATCCATGAAATTGTCACATAGTAAATGCATCACTTCAAGACACCTTGAAAAACTTCACTGCTCATTAGACCCCATATGAGCCTTGCTGCAATAACATCCTAAGGCCAGTCGCATAGATGTATACATTCCTACATGCACAGCTACAGTAACTTGTGGTCCAGAGTGACTCGGTCACCGGAACCGAAACCGTTCAGCATTATCGATCTGCGAATATCAAAACATAATTGAGCGTGATCAATCTCCAACCTGCATCCAGTTGATGATTCAGGGAAATGCTCTGGGTGTTCCTCTCTGGTACTCGCTATTATGGTCCCTGCTTCGGTTACTCGGTGGTAAAATCTTTGATCAAATTTATAAACCGATGCATCTCCCTCATTCAGATGCTGCCACACCTGCTGCACTCAATGAAAATACCATGACAAACCTTGGCGAACTTTTAAGCCGGGCTGGTGTTGCTCGTGACAAGCAGTGCTTGCTCAAAATATTCAGTGGAAATTTGTTCTTGGGAGCCTGTGTTAAAATGGTGATTTGACAATGCTGTGAATAACCTTACAGGCCAAATGCCTCCTCCCGTGGAAGCGCCTTCAACGGAGGAAGTCCAGGTAGCCCCCAAGAAAACAAAGAACGCTGGCTGTAAGTGATGTCATTCTACACTCTTTTTTTCCCCGCTTGGCTAGAGAAAGGGGGCAGAACATTGGGGAGATTGATTCTTTGGGGCCATGTTGGCATAAAAAGCTATGTCCAGATTCTAATTCAAAAATCTACTTTTCCCTAAGAAAGCCAGATCTCACTATGATGTCCTCATTTCAACTTTTTATTCAGGGCTTGCATGTTGCATGAACGGGGAATGTGGAGGGGTGGCAATATGAGCTGGCACAAAAAGAGTTCAGGCAGGACCAATAAAAATGGCATGTGGATATCTTGAGTTGCGTTAGGCTGGTGGCACTTGGCTGTCGGCTCATGTTGCCGCGGCGTCTGTACATATTCACACATCCAAATAAGCAAACGGCACCAAGCGTTCTATATTCGAGTCCGATCATTGAGTAAGTAGTGCCTAAAAGTGTTTCGCTTCATTAAAAACTAACATCAACGACAAGCCCTAAGTATTACAGTAAATGATTCAATGTTCCTCTTTCAGATGCTGAGTGGACACCTGGCGAAACGAAGCTGCTGCTTGATTACTACGAACGTTACTTTCCCCAAATTGGACCACTAAAAAAATTTAAAAACAAAAAATCTGTATTTATTAGAATCTCTGAAGACCTACAGACCATACTTAAATCACAAAAAACGCCAGAGCAGTGTAGTACAAGGCTGAAAACGATACAAAAGCGGAAGCGACAAGCAGTCAACTACAACGGCCGTTCCGGTGTGGGACCTGTCGACGTTCCTTACGAGGATGAACTGGATAGAATCAGCATGATGGATGACAGTATCGAGCCGGAGGTCATCAGGGACGTGCATGGGGCAACGCACAAGAAGGCTATGCCAAGCAGTCAAGCAAGGGCGGCCGCAGCAGCTGCAGCAGAAGCAGCTGCAGCAGAAGCAGCTGCAGCAGAAGCAATACCAACACCAGCCGACAGTGCCGTAGCCAGCACATCCTCTACAAGCTCAGAGGAGTCGTCCCAACCAGCCAGCAGTGCAGGCACCCGTCATCGTTCAGGAAGGGTGAACTCTGCACGCATGGAGCATATGAAGGAGTTCTTCACTGAGATGGCGAAGCTTGAGGAAGCAAGAGCAGTACGAAAAGCACGACAGGACGAGTTGAAGGAAGAAAGGCATGCAGCCAAAAGGATGATAAAGGAAGAGAAGTGTGCAGCCAAAAGGAAGCTAAAGGAAGAGATGCGGCTGGAACGACAAGAAATGCACCGAGAGAAAATGCGGCTTCTCGCCATGCTTGTGACCCAGCCTGAGACGAAACAGGATTGAAAGAATTTTTTTTACAATAGTATTCTTGACATGAATGCAATAAATTCATAATTTGCAAGTGGGCCTTCCTTCTAATCTGAAGTGGATACTTCAAAAGATGGTTAGGTAAACTTACCTTAAAAAGTATTCGAGCATACAAATTCTATGACCATGGCAACGGCAGCTTAAATACTGCGAATAAAACACAACGAAAAGAGAGCATTTGCAAACATAACACACAAATACAGGAATATATTTACTGGAAGCAGAAATGTCTATTGAAAGTTCATTTCATTTTTATTTGGATTTTCACCGGCAATGCCGGGTAGGGGGAGGCAGGGCAAAAGGCATTTCTGCCTGACGGGCCCCCATCCCCTGTAACGTTCAGAGCAGCACGCAGAGTACATTTGCCAAGCTAAAAAAATACGGCAGCAAACATGTTCCATGACTAAAACGCAGAGCAACCTAAAAATAGCAATACGGTTAAAATAAAATTGCGATAAAATTAGACGCAGAAACAACAGTAACACTTACCAGCTCTCAGTTGCTTTTTAAAAAGTTACAGTTTAAACGGCAAGAAGAGACGTAAAAATATGGACAGTCAAGGATGAATATATTTCACACAAAACAAAATTGTCATGAGAACGAAACAAGAACATGGTCTAAAGCACAGCAGAAGACTCATTTCAGATCTGCAGGGGAGAACTGCGATAAAATCGGAAGCACAAGCAACATCAACGCTTGTCACAGCCCTTTGTTGCTATGAAAATAATAGTCTGAACGGCAAGACGAGACAAAATTTGGACAAATAAAAAATAAAATATTTCACGCAAAACCAAAGCGGTCATCAGAAGAAACAAGAACAAGTAGAAGACTCATCCCAGGTCCGCACGGGAATGGTGACATGGTGAAGTAATGTTAAATATATACACACCACAGTCACATTGTGAATGTATATTGTGGATCACTCTTCGCATTGTCATGGTACAGTGAACCGGTACTCTATGGTTGAATCTGAATATGCACTCCTTAACCTGTCTATCGACAGTCTTCATCAAAAGCCCAAATCCCATGGCTCGCTGGTTGGCGCAAGCTCGCTCTCGTACTGTAGTGTTGCTAACGTTGGGGGGGGGGGGGGGGGGGAAGGGGTCATGCTACAAACTCCACTACCTGTTACCAAGGCCACTGCCTGTCTACGAAATGGGGCCTCGCCAGAGCAAAAAAAAACTATCACAAAAAAAAAAAAAGATTTGAAGGGAATGTTATGCCACATTGATGGGGAGGGAAAGAGCAAGAACTCGGGCAGACGCCCCTTGTCCCCAAGGCCTACATTCTACAGGCCTCCAATGAGGTTGTGAAAATAAGCTTGCGAGTTTCCGTCTCCGGATGGCGACTCATCTCAGCCCCATTTGGGCAATGACCCTATCCCTCTTCTCCTCTCCAAGTCTGCGGAGGATGGAATCTGTGGCCGTCATGGGCCCAAACTCCTCCAGGGAGTCAGTGTCTGGGCGTCTAGCCTCCCCGTCTTCGGGGTCCTCCACAACGCTATGCTCTCCGGCCTCAATGCAGAGGTTGTGGAGGACGCAACAAGCAATAATGAACTTTGCTGAGTGGTCCACAGTGATGAATTCGAGGAGCTTTAGCTGCCTAAAACGCTTTTTTAGGTCAGCGAAAGAGTTCTCTATTAGCACACGAGTGCCCGAGAATTTCAGATTGAAATTCCTCTGCTTTGCGGTCAGGCGACCATAATCCCGGAAGGGAGTTAGCATATATTCTCTCAAAGGATACGCCGCATCGCCGAGGATGTGGTACTGGCTCCTGCGGCAGATCTCTGGTAGCTTGTCTGCAATGCTTGATGTTCGATACACCCTGGCATCATGGACCTTGCTTGGGTGTCCAGTAGTTACATCCAGGAACCGCTTGTGGCGGTCACAGATTGCCTGGAGTGTCAACGACGGGTAACCATGCCGGTTGACGTAAGTTGACCGGATCTTTTTGGCTGGGCACTCAATGGCGATGTATGACCCATCGATGCACCCAATTGTGCCAGGGACACCGGATACCTGCAGCAAGAAAGGTAGACAAAAGTTTCTCTCGGTGTTCTGAGATGTTTTGTCAAACGAAACAGAATGACGGTTAGCGTCAAATTTGGTTTAAATTGTTCCACTGTTATATCCTCGGTGTCTAGTAAGTTACTGACAACAAAAGAATTAAAACAAACTCGGCAAGTGGGATGACGAACACATCTTTTAACTAGCAGCTGCATGAGTGAATTTATAAGCATTCTTCGTGGTCAAACTGAACCAAAAAAAAAAGTGTGAAAGGGACGAGGAAAGTGCGAACTACAAAAATCAAAATCAGAAAGAAAATATTGAGCCAGAAAAAGCTATTTAATCAGCTGGAAGCTGATTTGCAGCCATGCAAGCTTCGGAGTCCCATCTTTAGACAGGAACAGCGATGGTGCGGATACATTATTGTCAATTGCTCTCATGGTGAATAATTCCATGATTTCCTTGCCCATCTGCTCTCTCGCCTTCCCAAAATTCACTAGGCTCATATCTCGGGTATAGGCAACCTGCAATGCAGTTTGGCGCTGCACGTTGCGCCATCTAGCGGCTGCAAAATAAAGGAACTGGGTAGGCCAGGCCCGCGCGGGTCGCGGGTCCAGCGGGCGGGCGCATCCAGAAACCACGTGTGAACGTTGCATTCCGGGTCGGCGTGAGCTTTTTTTTCAAACCGTTTTTCGTAAAAGTAAGTCCCAACTTCACGTCTCTACGACCTCACCGGGTTCCTGTAACATCTCGCCTACTCTTATAGTTCCCCCAAAAAATAAACGTTGCTACTGCTGCGTGAAAGACGGCCACAGTCGCGAAGGTGACTCAAGCGTCAAACTTCACCGCTTCCCTTCGAGATCTTGGGAAGCGAAAGCGACACGGCGGCAGAAGTGGATTACTGCAGTGCGACGCATCAAGTAAGTGAATTTTACAGAAACTCTTGGGGGGGGACGTGAACGAAAATATATGTGCAGGCTCGGAAAGTGGTCGGACGAACTCGTTTTGCAGACTACTCGTCAAAATAACATATTAAAAGTTGTATTACGAGTTGCTTTGACAGCCACATAGGGAAATACGATAGGAACAATCAGGCCGATTGTTGCTTTGCTGTGACGTCGAGAATCGGGCGATCAGGTCTTCAAGCGAAAGGCCCGTCGGCCCGTTCCGGCACCCCTAATGCCGTTCGGCACACGTGGTCGCAACCAAAACCTTCCAAACCTGCGAGAGTGGATTTTCGTAGCACAAAGTTTTGTTTGTTTCAGCAACCAAATTTAATGCTGAGTCTAGTAACAAATGTGACGGCGTGCAGAAAGCAGGCTGGTAATGTTTTTGTTTGGAAAAAGCTCGTGCGAAGCGTAAATATCCTTTCACATACTTTGTTGCCTGTCGCCTTTTTACACCAGGCTTTGCGATGTGCATGCGGTTATGTAGCATGCTGAGTTCCAAATTTTATTCTAGTCTGTGTGGCCGTCGGGAGGAGAGGACGGCCCAGCGAGGCGCGAGCGGGGCCAGTTGGCGAGGAAAGAGGAAGAGCGTGCTGCACGAGGCTGGGACTGGGCAGGAACGATAGAGCCGTTTTGGCTGGTCTGGCCCATGGCGATTCCCGGGGGCATTCCACCAGCAAAGTGCGGGTCAGGACTGGCGGAAGCGGCGAGCCCTGGCCATACCGGCCTGGGCTATGACGATCCCGTAGTGGTTCCGCAGCGAGACTCTGACTGTGATAGCGCGGAACAGCTAGCCTACGCAGCACTGGCGTGGGAAGGACGATCCGCAGGCCTGGACACGGGCTCCGACAGAGTTCTGAACGACGGGCGACAACTAGGGTCGGCAGGTCCGGACTGCCGGCTCTCGAAGATGGGCAACCGGGATGTACAATAAACCTATTCGCTGCCTTCTCGTTGTATTGTGTCACTTCCTGGGAGACGAGCGAAGCACAGACCGATCGGGCGGCCACAAGTAGTGAAGACAACTCGAACTGGTGTCCAGATGACGACTCTAGAATATTCTCTAAACACTTGAACCTATCAAGACTCCCGATGGTCTTAAAAAACCGCATGAAAAAAACCAGGGACGCACGCAGGTGCACACGGGGACTGCTGAAATCGGGGTCGCTGCCGCTCGCAACGGCCTGGCGGGCAGATAGGCCGCCCCATTAACAGAGGCACCTCCGCTTGTGGCGCTGAATGCAGTACTATCGTGGCGCCGCCTGGCCATTGCCGGCTGCCTATAAGACTCCTATTAGCAACAATAAGTCTCGCAAGCGGCCTTCTGGGAGCCTGTTGGAGTGATGCCACGGAAAGAAGTTTTTCCTAGTTACTTTGCAAATGGTTGCTAATATTTTTGCTGTTTTTAGTACCACATTTAGGTGAAGGTGCAGAGACCATTCAGTGATTGGCGACCGCAGAGACACATGCTCGTTTTCAAAGCTAGTATACCCAATTAAAAGTTCCTGTAAGCTCCCTACTGTTGAGGTGCGATGATCACCAGCACTACCTGTTTGGCCTCTGTTTATGGAGTGTTGTTTTATCCGTCTATTACTATGCCTATGGTTAACTGTGCTCTTTCTGACGAGACTTGCACAAAGTACTTTTGGCCGAACGCAAAGAACTTTGCCATGCATTGCAATAATCGCCAACGTATGAAGATGTCATCTGCAGCGCCACTTCGACTGCTGCAACCGATGAAGGTCGCTCTCCAATTTACACGGTGTGGTTAGATACTGTTGGTCCTTTCAAGACATCTCATGGATGGATGGATGGTAATGACTATACCCTTTGTAATGGGCGGCACCTTGCGCCACCTACCCCTAACTCATATTTAATATATTTGTAGCACAAGGCTACAAATATATCATATATCAGCCTCCTCACGAAATTCGTGCGGTAGTGCACACTGCACAGCCTTTTTGAGGAGATACAACTAGAATGATTGAATCACGGTACAAACCTCTTCAAAGTCTCTTGACAGGCGCTCCAGATCCTCGGGGAACTTGATGAGGCGCGGTCCGATGCTCAGGACGAAATCCAGAACTCGATCCATCATGCCGTGAAGCGTGCTCTCACCCAGGTTGAAACGTCCGGCAACGTCTCTGATGCATGCTTTGTTAGCCGCGTACCTGAGTTGTGTACATAGAATGAAAACAAAAATCGATGGGAGTGAACACGGAGAACCAGAGTCAAGTACTCACCAGAGAAATGACAGCAGGTGCTCCTCTGCGCTCTTCGCTGGCGATCCTCCGTGATCGGCAGCGGGGTACATAGGAGACGCCGCAAACTCGTCGATCAGCTTGTAGGCTGTTCGCCTCGAGATGCGAAAGTTCCGACGGAACTGGAAGCAAAGGTTTTCTTTGCTTACGCATGCTGAACCGAACAGATATGAGACGAAGTACGAGACGTATCGCTTACCTCCTCGTCCCAGTAGACGTGAACCGTTCGCTCGATGTAATCCTCGATCTTGGGTCTCTTGTTACGAGGTCCAAAGAGCTCCGTGAACTTTCGTTCGCAAAGTAGCCGCGAACGCGATTCGCCGGAGCTGCTGCCCGAGCTCGAACTTGAACTGCTGCTTGAGCTCGAACTTGAACTGTCTGAGCTCTCTGAATCATCGCTTTCACATAGCAGGAGCACCGACGCACGCAAGTCCGGTCCCACCTTCGACGCCATTTCGCACAACAGCGCGATCCACTCCTGCCGAGCAGGCGCCGAGAAAGGAAGTGACGTAGCGCGCTGCAACCGAGCACCAGCCGATTTCCGGAGAGCTCGCCCGAATTCCACGGAGCGGTTTCGCCGCTCTTTGACGCGCTCCACGGAGCTCGCGCTGCCACAAATCTGCGAGCTGAAGATGGCCAACTTGATCCGAATCCGCGAGGTGAAGATGCGCGCCCCAAAAGGAGCGGGTTTTGAGCGCGCCAGATCTACCAGGTGAATTCACCATAAGTGGTGGACCGTCCACAATCCCTTTGCTGCGCTCGGAGCTCAGCTGAAACGAAGTATTCGCAACTCCAATTCCCTATAGGCGTCGGGGCGGTAGTTTCAAGATGGCGGAAGAGACGGGGACAGATTCTCCAGGGTTTTCCGTGCGCCTGCTCGCTGACGCTGGTCAGTGCGCTAAGCATGATTCATTTGTCTGCAAACGCGAAGTGGTTAGGGCAGGATCATATTTCAGGTGACGGAGATGTTGATACGCGTTAGCAAAATGAGCATGCTGATATTTAAAAGTTGCAGAAACCTCGACTTGCGAAGCTTTGTGGTGGCCGAGCGCGTTTTACGTACCGGCGATGTCAATGTTTGTGGCAGAATATTTTTGAGGGTGATGAAGATATCGTGTTTGCGCCTTGCCTCGCCATTAGTACTCTAAAATGTGAGCCGCGCACGAAGCTTCGGAAGAGCAGCTTTCACAGCATTGATGCCATCGTGTCACAGGCTCGCAACTCGCTGCTCACCGTCTCCGTTTTAGTGTATTGCAACACGTGATCAAACTGCTCCATGGTTATTGATAGGAAGTTTGTTACCGCAGGCTACCGTGCGGTGTTGCATTACAACCGGAGGCTCGCACTGCGCTTTTGAAGCACAATTTTCAGCACGTGCCGGGAGCGTCGCCTTGCTCATGGTAGCCAACGGTAGCCTGCGGTAACGCTATGCTAAAACTGCCTCTTACCATAATCGGCGTGTTTAGGGGTTTAGGCTTTTACTCATTGCTCTACCACAAAATGCATGTTTTAATATACCGTACTTTTTTTTTTTTTTGTACCGTATTATTTGCAACGTTGTGGCCCTTCTCGCCAAAACTGCCCGTTCTAAGCTCTCGTCACGAAGGGCTGGCTAACACAGACGCGCTTAAAATGCTTCGGGCATTTTTTTTTAAATTTATTTTGTGGTTATCTGAAAACAAGTACGCGTATTCTATCGTTTAAAAGTGCTTGGAATGAATGGTCATGTTCCTACGGCCTTAAAACTCAAACCCATTTTGACGTGTATTGCTCGACATTTCGTTGTGCGACCAGTGTTCTCCTACTTAGGGCAAAGAATAGACGTTTCCTAGACCGAACGCTAGAGCTCTACATTATTAGCGGGAGCATTTGCCGTCACGTTGAGCACAGATCTAACTGGCGGTCATGCACAAGACCAGCAATCCGCAGCGTATGCGATATACGAACAGTCTCTAATGAATTAGATATCCCGGTTCTTCGTGCAACGCTGTTGCGACGTGAAGCACAAGAATTCCTATTTTAACGTGCTCACTTTTTTCGTTACAACGGCTTTACGCATCAAGGCCGACAGCCCCTGCCACCTTTTCCGCGCCGCCGCCGCCGCTGCCGTCCTCGTTCCTCTAGTTCTCCGCTTGTCCGCGGGAGGGCGAGCGGCGCGCGTGAGTTGCGAATAGTTGAGTTTTCAGCAGGGCTCCCTAAAATAAAGAGTTTAAATCTACATAATTTCTCAGCGGGTTAGATCGAAGTGTCCGCTAAATGTGTATTCACACGGCCGACTTGTCTCCGGACAAGTTGCGACAAAATCGGTGACGCCTCTCTTCCTGCGGTTCAAAATGCGCCGCGTTCCAAGCACAAAAAGCATGCAAAACTGAAGAGGTGGTCCGCGGACGACAGGGTCGTGTCCGGGGACAAGTCCGTAGACCTGTGGAATGTTGTATAACACGTTGGAAAACGTTATGAACTTTATCATAACGTAGAAACAAAGCAAAAATGCGGTGTTTTATACATTATGATCAACGAATAGCAACTGGCCCCACTCCCGACGTTACTCAGCCATGAAATAGGTTCGCGGACTCGTCGTACCACGGTTATCAAGATCTTAGACCCGTTCAATTGTCGCTTCTTTCTGTTTCGGTGAGCTCCGTGCCAGGTCCGTGTATTTGGTGAACTCGGAAAAAACCAATAGCGACAAGGTGCTCGCGCCTCGAGTGGCTGCACGAGCCGTCTTATTTGTTTCTTCTTTCTTTTCCACGGAAGATTTTTAGCGTTCGTTCGTATGGCTTTTTCTTGACTGTGTTTTATGTAACCGTTCAAACTAGTTGACACCTCATTAAACCGAATGCGTTTATACGGTATTTCTCGAAATTACTGTTTACGTATCTGCCGCTTGTAAAGAAGCTTTTAAAGACGACGATGTTTTACGACCATTTGTATAAATCTGGTTATAGTTCCTAACATTTAAAGACAGATACTCACTTGGATTAAAACCAACACCAATTCAAAATGCTTTCAATTGAGAAGGCAAACGTAGTTCTCAATAACAAAAAATAAAACGATATCATAACACATATGTATGCAAGCTATACAGGCAGACGTAACAATGATCGCGAATACCACAACGCGGACTCCTGGGGTCATTCTTGGCTATCAAAATAAGTATAGATGTTCTAGGTAACGTTAAAATAGTTTCATACTTCTATGCGATACCAAATTAAACGCCGGAGCTCATTTAAGCTTCAGATGTGGCCCGTCGCTATTCTTCCAAAATTACCAACTAGATAATCAAACGTGTTTGTCGCGAAGTTTCGGTAATTTTATTGAACACACCTGTGCACAATTTTTATCCGGGAGCTGAGTATTCGTCTCCATTTTTCATTCTACTGTCCCCTTTCGGGCACTTCCCAGGAGAACCAGATGGTTTCAGATCTGGGCCGGTTGCTGCGCACGATATGTGTTTCGAAGGCGTGTCCATTCAGAATGCTGTCGTACGAGCCAAAATGAATCCTAACTCTGCTTCGCTGTTCACCTGTAAAGTAAAGAGAATTTCATAAGCTAGTGCAGTGTCTTTTCAGTCGTCAGCAAAGTTTTTGACTGAGGATGAAACCACCGCTTGCAAGCAATTAATATATCTATAAAGGGTGATTTTTTTAGCTGCACCAAATTTTCAAAAAAGGGAACGTGAGATAGATTCATTTTAGCCCTGGGGGAGTGTAGGTGGCCATGGCGGCCTCTAGAAAAAGGTGAAATTAGGTGATGAGTTTGCTAATTAACTAAAATGTTTTAACTAACTTTTAAAATTTTTTCACTTGAGGGCACCTACTGCATTTACAGGATTGAAGATCGGTCACAGTGTAATCTAGCCGTGTCGTCCAATTTGGATAACAAAAATGCCTAGTAGGCGCTACGGTGTCGAGATATGTCACTTTGCTAAATGGCGTCAAACCGAAACTAAACAGGAAAGAGTGCCGGTAGAGTTATTGCTCCGCCCTTCCGGGCGTGCGATTCGTCATTATCACGGCCGGTTCCACTTGCTTAGCGAGCCGGCCGCGATAATGACGAATCGCGTACCCGGAAGGGCGGAGCGATAACTTTACCGACACTCTTTCCTGTTTAGTTTCGGCTTGTCGCCATTTACCAGAGTGATATTTCTCGACTCCGTAGCGCCTACTAGGAATTTTTTTATCTATATTTGACAACACGGCTAGACCATACTGTGGCCGATCTTCAATCCTCTCAATACATTATGTGCCCTCGAGTGAAAAGTTAAAAAAGGTTAATAAAAACATTTTAGTTAATTAACTAATTACCTAATATCACCTTTTTTCTAGAGGCCGCCATGGCCACTAACATTTTCCCAGGGCTCAAATTACTCAATCTCACGTTCACTTTTTTTGAAAATTTGGTGCAGCTAAAAAAACACCCTGTATGTCTATATGTATACATAGATATAAAGTGGAGGTCCCAGAACGGGCCCCTGAGGTACTCGGAAGAGACGGGTGTGGAGGAGGAGTCGGTATCATTACACGTTACAAATTGCGAGCGATTCGTTAGAAATGATATCAATTAGTTAAGCACGTTAGAGTTGCTGTTAAGTTTACTTAACTTAAGCAATGAAATTAGGTGCGAAACCCTGTCAAACGTTTTGGCAAAGTCTTGAAATATGCAGTCCACCGAAGATCTCTGATCAAATGCTGAATGAAAGTCGCAGGTGATAGACAGAAGTTGCGTTTCAAAATATAAATATTTTGTCTACACTGGCCGAGGTTGAGCAGTTTCGCGTGGCTCGCATAATGAGCCGTGCTCCGTGCTGTGCAAGCGCGAGGAGCAGTGACGTCACACGGCGCACAGCTGGCGCAGAGCCGTATATGGGGAGAGTTTGGCCAGTCTATTATCTCGTCGCCGTAACGCTCTCCTCCCAAGTGAGCCAGTCAGCACGCGGCGTAGAGCGAGAGGCATGAGCGCATGCGCGTGAACTCCCGGCTGCTTCCACCTGAGTGGGGAGGGCCGCCATCTTCGATCATTCTCCCGGCGGAATGCGTAGGATCGGCATCTAAATTTCGATTATTGCCTTTTATATCGCTGGCTCTGGCAAGAAAATGAAATTTTGTTATTCCTCGGTGGGTTTGAAAAGCTAATAAATGAAGATTTTTCGGCGTATGGCCACAAATTTTTATTCAGGCGAAAAAGAAGTCGGCCCGTAGCAGACGACGCGTAGCCTCAGCAGTGCTCTTCTCCGACCAGTCTCCGACAGCGTTCCTCAAATATGGCGGTCGTCTTCTCTCCGCTCCCTTCTTTATCTCTCGCTCCTTCGGCGCTCTCCTCCCTTTCATTTATTTTTCTCCTCTCCGGCGCCTTCGTCGCCACACCCACTGGCCAAACTCTCCCAATATACGGCTCTGAGCTGGCGGGGCGGAGCCGCCGTCGCCGCGGGCTCCGCCGCCACCGCGCGCGACTCGCCGGTCTGCGCAAGCGC